ACCCACTCCTCTGCACTGGAAGCACAGAGTCTTAATCACTGGACCTCCAGGGAGGTCCCAGAGCAGACGGGTGCTGCTCCTAACTTCTTTTTTCCCCTCAGACATGCTGTGTTTTGATTTAGGAAGATATTTAGGAAGATATTTAACTTACATTCCTATAAGCATGATGAATAAGTATGGATGTGATGATAGCAAGTCTGACTCATGTACCTTCAGCTGCTGCACAGTATTTTTTGGGGAGGAGGGATATTTGTGTGTGTGTGTGTGGTGAGATATACATAAGATCTACCATTTCAGCCATTTTTAAGTGGGCCATTCAGAGACGTTAAGCACATTCACTAAACATTTAAAAATATTTAAAATATGGAATAATTCTTGGGCCCCACAAGATAAATTAAGCAGGTGTGATTAGAATCGTCCTTTCTCCCACCCAATCCTGCTTATCTTTCCCTGCTGATGGTGAAGATCAGCTCTCCTGGGAGGGATCGCTCATGGAGCCACCATTGTCACGTACCCTGAAGAATGACCCTCCTGTCTGGGACTCAACACAAAAGGTGGTTTGACGAGCAGACACATAGATCTGTGCTTGACCCATCTATCAAAGCCCTTTTTCTGTGTACACAGATTTTTTTTTTTTTTTCAAAAGCCGGTTACTTAGACATTGCTATGCCTGCCAAAGAGAACTGGCTCCCATTCCTTACTACCCTCCCCCTTATTAAAAAAAAAAAAACAAGCAAAGGTTAAATTAGAGACTTACTAAAACAAAGGCCCTCTGCAAACCCAGGCCCACTTATCAGAACAGAAGTGAGGTTGCCAAGGAGGCAGGGGCAGATATGTATGGAGAGCTTTGGAGGAGGCACTCAGGAATACACAAAGTGTTATTGTCTTGTCAGATGTTATTCATGTTGTATCTATTCCACCAGGCGCTTCTGTGTTCTGTGACCTTGGACAAGAGACTGCCAGAGAGCTGTTTTGAGGGCAAATAAAACAACACCTGTCAAGGCCTGTAGGCCACGGGCCCGGGGACTGTGAGGACAAGATGGATAGTCTTTCATGAGCTCCTATTCTCGATTTCTCCCTGTTCTCTGGTCAGATCCTCACTGATTTCCATTAGCCTCATTTGAAATTGGCGACTCTGACTGCGCATGTGCATGCTCCTCTGTGCTGTTTAGAATTCTGGAACGCTAGTGGGTGGGAGCTTCCGTTTCATACGTCCCAGGGCATGAAAGACAGAGAAAGTTTTCAAGTGCTTGTGAGTGGAATCTCATGCCAAGAGCTAGAAGGGACATGCAGGTTCATCTAGCCCAGGCAACTGACAGACATGCGAGTCCTTTCCAGCCTTTTGGTGGTAGGTGTTCATATCTCTACCAGATCCCGCTCTCCACTTTGCCAGGCATTGCCCCTCCCAACTTTGGGCGACAATAGCAGCGAGTTACTTGTTGAATATTTTGTAAGCTACTTAGGAAGAAAGGTTTGGCTAAAGAAAACACTTCTGTAAAACAGAATTTCCAAAATAGTTTCAGGATTCAATACGTATTCACCAATTCCCTGCTATATGTCAAGAACTGTCAGAGGGACGGGAGATATGAAGATGAATGAGACAAGAACAATTTCTGTCCTCAGACCTCACTTTTCAGTCGAGGAGAGAGATACATAGATTATCATCAAAAAATGTTGGAAATACCTGGCAGACAAATGTATGGCTATTACAGAAGCACCCAGTTCAGCCCAAGGTAGTGCATTCTGCAAAGACCTCTAGAAGGTGAGGCTCAAGCTGAAGGAGGACCCTTTTTTGTAGGCTAGATGGGCTTAAATGAACAAACGTTAGACATTTCTAATTTGAATCACTTTGATACATTTAAAAAACCCTATAATAAAGGCATTTACCTCTGAACTTTGTGTTAGCTGTTTGATCTAAAGTTCTAAAACAATATTTTGAAAAAATTGTAATTTGGACTTTCACTATAGACGATTGGTTTTCCAACTGAACTCGAGAAATCTGAGGAACTTTTTGGTTGGTAGGGAGGGACATTGTTCCAGGGACTGAGACGACAGAACTCTGAGCCGTTATCAAAGAGCTTCAAAAAAGAAAAAAAAGAGCTTCACTGTTCTTCCTATTATTTTATTGGTGTTGGGTGTATTTTTTTTTTTAACTAGGAAAAGGGGGCTCTGATATTGAAATATATTTCAAACTACAAAGGGAAACTCACTCCCCAGTGAAACAGGTCTCATTGCATACTTGCCATCTAAGATTACTCAGCTGACTGCTTTAAAGCAAAGCACCAAAAACACTCCCACACTTAGTTATCTTTGCTTGTTCTGCAGCCATGACCCTCACACCTCCCCCACGCCATCCCCAGGCAGCAACCTTGTAAAATAGAGGTAGAGCTAAAAAAATCACTACTCTAAAGAAAATGTCCTTAAGATATATGGCTTCTTAATAGTAAGACAAGCAGTACCTTTGTGTACAAACAGCAAATTATTGTTAGAACAATCTAGTTATAACAAAATATTTTCATATGGAATAGGTTTATAAGTCCTATTTATAAATCAATATTTTACTTTATTTTTTAATAAATTAATAGTTTAAATAACATCTGAAGTAAACATTCTGGAACAGTGAATGAATGAGCAGTTCCTTCATATTCAAGATATAAATATACTTCTCTTTCATCCCAAACACAGGATGAGAATCTGATTTTCTGGCATGATTTTCACCTTTCAAATGCATATGCTTGTATCAAAATACATTGACTTGTTTTCATAACTTACATTTACCAGCTATGTAAGTGTCAAGGAATATTCTCCTAAATCTTTATACATTGGCTATCCTCATGCATCATTACAAAGCTGGGTTGAGAGAAATAGATCTAGTCTCAGATGGGAAGAAAAGAAAAGATTAAAAGAAAACACCACATGAACAGCTTCCTGGGTCATACTGGACGTTAACTGGGGGAAGCTAGAACAAGTTTGAATCAATACAATGAATGACCTGAAATCTGCAAAACAGCTTGCCCTGTTGAGCAGGGCACCCGAGGCCATTGCTCCTTAGATGTGGGCAAGTTTACCACATCCCAGTAAAGTTTACTAGGTTTTGGGTTTGCTCATAAGGGGAAAGGAGAATAAGAAAATGCAACTGCTAAGACTTTCTTGGCTTCCCAGTGGCTCAGTTGGTAAAGAACCTGCCTACTAGTGTAGGAGATGTAGGAGACATGGGTTCAATCTCTGGATCGGGAAGTTCCCTGAAGGAGGAAATGGCAACCCACTACAGTACTCTTGCCAGGAGAATCCCATGGACAGAGGAGCCTGGCGGGCTACAATCCAAAGGGTTGAAAAGAGTCAGACACGACTGAGCATGCATGCATATATATACACATAGAAGACTTTCTTATTGAAACCTGCTCCCACCCACCGCTATTAGGTGTTGCTTCATAACCCTGTCACCAGGTCACAGAGCATAGTCTCTGTGGATCCACACCCAGGTGAGCATGCAGTGGCATGGAGCATTGGGGCAAGTGTCAAGGAGATTTGCTTTTCCACTGCTAAGTTGTTTGCACTCATCATTAAAGAACAAAAGGAACATTACAGAAATATACTGATGGGTTTTCTAACCTGCTCTGAAAGGGAACAAATAAGCTAGTCAGTGGGTGGATAGGGGTCTGGAGGAGGAAAGAGCAGAGAAGAGCTTCAAGCAAGATCCAGAGCAGAAATCCTGCAACATGTGAACTGTTATTTTCCAGTCTCCATTCTCATAAAAATACTTCCATTATGGAAAGTTCACTGCTCCCTGACACAGGTAGCTAGGTTTACTTAGTAAGTTAACTGAACATGATTTATAGAAAGCCCTAGATCTCATTATTAAGAAATTATTGTTTTTGTTAGGGATGATAATACATGATTGGTTATTTTAAAAAAAAATCCTTATCAGAGATGCACAGTGAAGCGACGAGATGTCTTAGATTTTCCTTAAGATCCTCTGGCAAAAATGATGACAACATGGGGGAAGTTGAGACTGGGCACTCATTGAACTGGGTGATAGGTACATGGGGATTTATTATAATAAATGCTCTACTTTTGTACGTGTTCTAAGATTTTCATGATAAAAAGTTAAATGATGACTTAAAAGACAAGTCTAAAAAGCCACATCATGACAATACTCTTCCAGGTGGTTCCCACCCCAAAATGAAGGCAGGCTTAGATGCCTACCACTGATTTTCCCTGATTCAAATATATTATCAGTAGGAAGATCCACTGTTCATTCAATAATCGTTTTTCACAGGCAAATAAACATGCAACATTGATATACACACTGATTATAAACTATTTTCCAAAAATTTCAGTTTTTGGCAATGCACAAAACATGTCTCAGGACTGTGGACATCTGGTAACTTTGTCGATTGTTAACAAGGATTGTTGTTAAAAAGGCCAAGTTTGAAAAGAACGGTGTGTGGGGCCTCCATTATTTATTTAACTTATCCACCCTTTATCATTTATTTAATCTATTAAAATGTGTTACTTGTTTTAGCGGCTGAAGATTTGCTTAAACCTAGGAAGGAAAGTGCAGGCTAAGCAAGGCTAAGAATGTCAATAAGCGTGGCGTCTACCGGCCTAGACACGACCAGCCTCGTTTTAATCTTGTATGTTAGTGAAAGTAGTACGTTTGGAAGATCATAAATATCCAAAGGATGCCTAGCTGGGGATCTTGAAACTAGTTAGAATTACTGTTCCTTCCCTGAGGAGTAACACCAATGGGGGAGCGTCTTGGGGAAGAGGAACCATTCAGAAGCCTCAGCGCACCCCACCACGGTCCAGAGCCGAAAGTCTCGGACGCAGAGCTACAGAAAGTGTGACAACTACCTGAGCAGCTCTGTGCAACCGGAAGGAAGAAAGTGTCCCCGCCCCGCTGCGCCCCGCCCCGCCCCATCCCGGAAGCCCCGCACCAGATGCCCCGCCCAGAACACCAGGCGTTTGCGCGTGCGCATACGCAGCGACGCACTTACTCTCCTCAGGAAGGTTGTTCTCCCGCTCTTCTCTCTCCATCTGCTGGCACCAGCCTTCCATGCGGTCCCGCTCCGCCTGGAGAAGCTTCAGAAACCAGTGGCCGTCCCGGTGGCACACTGATCTCTGCACGGCCTCCAGGGGGTCTTCGGTGATTGAATCAATCCAGGGGTCCGGGGGCGGCAGAATGGAAGGATCGAAGTCTGCGTCGAAGTCCTCGTCGACGGCGCAGGCGTGGTAATGGTTTCCTGAGCCCTGGATGCTGACGGTGGAGGTGCTGGCATCCCGGGAGAACTGTCTGGCCACCGGGCCGGGGCACGAATTGTCCTCTATCGACTCCAGAGAGTTTTCCAGGTTGTCGTGGAAGTCCAGGTCGGCCTGCACGGCCGTCGTCACACTGTTGGAGCGAGTGAACCTGCGGAAGCTTGGAGGGATAGAGAGAGACGAATAGTTAAGGATGTTTCTTGAAGCAAAACCCCATTCTGCTTCTCTTCATGGGTGTGCCAGGAGGGGGCGGGCAGTCCCATCCTCTCCATCTGTGGAGGTAGCCCCTGGAGGCCAGCGCATCAGTTGCCATAGCGCTAGTGTAAAGAACACGATCCCTCCTCTCTGGTCAGTATGGACGGAATGTGAAATCGTATTTGGAGAAAGTTTAGAAGTGGACCAACAGGCACCAGCTCTCAAAGCCAGATCGATGTCCAGGGTCCACCTTCTGCCCCAGTCTGCCATGGCTTGGATCCTTACATACAGGAATCAGTAAACTTGGTGAGGGGTAAGGAAAACAATTCAGTTATATCTTGCTTTGCTGTAATTTTCTTTGAAACAAGGGGGGGGGGGGGAAGGGAACCCAACCCAACTGTGGACCAAGACTATCTTGAATCCTGCATAACCACATTTCCCAGGGACAGCTCTTACCTGAAGACAAACTAAAATGCCATTAAGGTCCTCTTAAAATTAAAGCTCCTTTCCCTGGTAATTCTTCTCTAGATCACCTGGTCATAGTGATAATTTGGTACAAAGCCTTTGGGGCAAAATTAGCTCAGATCTAGAGTTCTCCAGTATCGTCTTTCCCTGTACCTTTAATGCCCCCTCCACAACCTTCTCCCGAGATAAAATACAAGACAACTTGATAACAGCATTTTGTATGGACATCAGTGCAATTGGTGTTTCTCAGCCAAATGGCTCGAGACACCTACAGCGAAGGTGAGGACTTATGGAAGGTGAGAGGGGTGGGGAAGGACAGGGGAGCAGCGAGTTCTTTCTCAGACAAGGGGCAGGGGAAGGCGTGGGTCTGAAGTAATTTAAAACACACTCTGCAAAGTTTCCCTGGCTTCAAGAGCAGACAGGAAATGACGATTTAACAAGATAAAAGAGTTTATAAGTCTATAGAAGGCAGCATCAGGTGTCTGTTACCCCACTTGATACTTATTTTTTTAAGGTAACTTCCTGATATAATATTTTTTTATTCTGAAGAAATAATACATAACATAAAATTGACTAAACTTTCAAGTGTATGATTCAGTGGCATTAAGTTCGTTTCCATGGTTGGGCAGCCATCACCACCATCCCCCTCTAGAGCTTTTTCATCTTTCTCAGCTGAAACTCTGTACCCATTAAACAACTCCCCACTCCACCTCCCTTCCCTCCAGCCTCTAGCAGCCACGAATGCACGTTTTTTCTCTCTAAATTTGATTAGTTTCAGTCCCTCATGTAAGTAGAATTATATAGTATTTGTCTTTTTGTCGCTGGCTGATTTTACTTAGCATGATGTCTTCAAAGTTCATCCATATTGTAGCATGTGTCAGAATTCCCTTCCCATTTAAGGCTGAATAATATCCCATTATATGTATATACCACATTGTGTTCATTTTTTAATCCATTGATAAACACTTGACTTTGTTCCACTTTGTGGCTATTGTGAATAATTCTTCTATGAACATGGGTATACAAATACAGCTTTGAGATTCTGCTTTCATTTGTTCTGGGTACATAGCCGGAAGCAGAATTGTTGAATTATGTGGTAATTCTGTTTTCGCTAGCAGCCATACCATTTTATATTACAACCAAAAATGCACAAAGTTTTTAATTTCTCCACATCCTTGCCAACGCTGATTTTCTGACTTTTTCTATAGTAGCTGTTCTAATGGGTATGAAGTGGTGGATTTTCTTGGATGGTTCATGATTATGCCATGTTATGATGGTTTATTTGCCAGTTGATTTTCAATTAACATTCAGTAGCGCCAGCCTTAAAGGAGAGTGTACTAAGGTCCATACAACATTTAATAAACGAGATAATATGTTTTTTCTTAACTCTTCTGGAAACTCTGTAAGAGCCAGTGAGCACCAGTATTCTAGTCCCTCAAAAATAAAGAATGAACAGACTGGAACAAAAAGGAAAAGGTATAATCATCTCAATCAGTCCATTTCCCCCCCCTAGAGAACAAATACCAAGAAAATAATGACTGCACAATTGATATGTATTAATTATTAGGATGACCACAATAATAAAAAAAATGTTGTGATGCTCGCCATTCATTTTATGAGGATAGGCCAGCCAAAAAAGGCTGGTCCATCTTACTGTTTGCTGTTTTCAAGAAATTACTTCTGTAGTCAGAGAAGAAGAAATATCGTGTGACATGCTTTATATGTAGGATCTAAAAAGAAATGAATCAGATGAACTTATTTACAAGACAGAAACAGACTTACAGACTTAAGAGAATGAACTTGTGGTTGCCAGTGGGGAAGGATGGGAGGGAGGGATAGTTAGGGAATTTGGAATCAATATGTACACACTGCTACATATAAAATGAATCACCTACAAGGACCTGCTATTCAGTAGGTCTGAATAACTCTGCTCAATGTTATGTGGCAGCCTGGATGGGAAGGAAATTTGGGAGAGAATGGATACATGTATGTGTATGGCTGAGTCCCTTTGCTGTCCACCTGAAAGGAACTGGCAACCCACTCCAGTAGCCTTGCCTGGAGAATTCCATGGACAGAGGAGCCTGAAGGGCTATAGTCTATGGGGTGGCAAAGAGTTGGACATGACTGAACAACTGACACACACACACATGGCTGAGTCCCTCTGGTGTTTACCTGAAACTAGAAACTATCACAATATTGTTAATCGACTATACCCTAAAACAAGATAAAAAGTTTAAAAAAAGTTACTTCTGTGTAAGGTATCAGGCATGGTGATTTTATAGGTGGCTCAGTTGGTAAAAAGTCTGCCTGCAATGCAGGAGACCTAGGTTCAATTCTTGGATTGTGAAGAGCCTCTGGAGAAGAGAATGGCAACCCACTCCAGTATTCTTGCCCAGAGAATCCCACGAACAGAGGAGCCTGGTGGGCTATAGCCCATGAGATCGCAGGGAGTCAGACACGACTGAGCAACTCACACTTAACTCTGAGATGGGTCACAGGAAAAACTGCCCAGTGTGAAAGTCTGAAAGAATGTCCTTTCTGGTACTCTCTGTGAAAACAAGAACGATTCTGCCACCGTGATTCTCCCAAAAGTCAGCGGTTTCTTGGCTTTGGGAGGTCACTTCTGCCGCCTTCTTGCTCACCCGCCAACATGTTAAATGACATCTGAAGCTGAGCTGTCTCTCCAGCTGCACGTGTGTGAATTGGATGACTTTCCTCCCAACAGTTGACATCCTGCCTGTTCCACTGACACAAAATCCTGACTATGAAAATACTTGGCTCCACTCTCCAAGATCATGGGCTGCCAGAGGCATAACATTTCCAGACTCAAGGAAGGCCCAGCGCCTTATTGTTTCCAACTGGAGCAAACTTGCCAGAGACAGAGTCTGTCGTGCACGCAAATCACAGAGACTCACTTTCTTCATGCCTCTGTTTTTATCTACCCAAATCCATACCACCAGCATTCCTGATAGAGGGCTCCTGGCTATGAATCTTGTAAAGTATCCACCTTCTTAAGAAAAATGACTTGGCAGGAGATGAGTGGACGTCTGCAGGTTAGTCACCCAGAAAGAAAGAAAGGTAAAATGGTTTGGGATTAAAAGCGGTGCCTTTGAACTCAGGCAGCCCTCTCTGGGTTGCACTGCTTCTCTCAATTAAGTTCCTTAAACGAGCGCTTTATTCTGCCCGGAGTTTTCAAAGAATGTTCTGCTCTGTGAAACACTTTTATGTCTTTCATGTGCTGAGTGTCCTCTGAGCGAAGGGTGTGATCAAGTTGTTGTTTAAAAGTTTGATAGGAACACAGAAGGAGTCACTGGATTTATTTCTGTGTTTTTGAAAAGAATGGATCAGTTGCTGGCGGATGGTACAAACCTAAAAGCTGAAACCAGTGGCTTCAAGAGAGTTTCCAGTCTTGAAACTTCCTTGGTCTTTCATGCCCTAAAGGCAAAATATGTAATAATTACAAATTCTGAAATGAACTGGCTGATATTCTGCCCAAGGGATTGAAAAACCATGAAACCAAAGACTGAACCAACCAGTACGGGACAGGATACTGTGTCTGTTCTGAAGGCAGGAGGAAGGACACTTGTGAGCACTCACCTCTGCTGTCTTTGTGCTCTTTCTCTGAAACAAGTTTATGTTTCTGATGAGAGGATTTTCCGTCCCTCTCCCACCACTTTTCTGTTCAGCAGATTACAAATCAAGAAATAGATGGGAAATCTTGGAGGCTTATTCTCATCTCCCTTGTCAGGTGAAGGTGTATTTGAACAAAATGAGTCATGAACAAAAACTAAGCAGAGTCTGTATCTTTAGAACACACATGCTTTGTTCCTGCAAGTTCAGTTATCTGAGACGCAAATCATAAAGACCCTTGCTTCTTGGAAGAAAAGCTATGACAAACCTAGACAGCGTATTAAAAAGCCGAGATAACACTTTGCCGACAAAGGTCTGTATTAAAGCTATGGTTTTCCCAGTAGTCATGTATGGATGTGAGAGTTGGTCCATAAAGAAGGCTGAGCACAGAAGCATTTATGCATTTGAATTGTGGTTCTAGAAAAGACTCTTGAGAGTCCTTTGGACAGCAAGGAGATCAAATCAGTCAACCCTAAAGGAAATCAACCCTGAATATTCACTGGAAGGACTGATGCTGAAGCTGAAGCTCCAATACTTTGGCCACCTGATGTGAAGAGCCAACTCATTGGAAAAGACCCTGATGCTGGGAAGGATTGAAGGCAAAAGGAGAAGAGGGTGGCAGAGAATGAGATGGTTGCATGGTATCACTGACTCAATGGACAAGAATTTGAGCAAACTCCAGGAGATGGTGGAGGACAGAGGAGACTGGTGTGCTGCAGTCCATGCGGTCAAAAAGAGTTGGACATGACTGAGCGACTGAATAACAAGTCATAAACTTAGGGAAACTCAGTCACACCTGTTAACAGAATCCTGTACTCCATGGGTCCTATCCACATAAAAGCTGCCTTTCAGGACTAAATCTAGTTTCAA